CGCACGCCCACGGCCGCCGCGAAGTCCACGGAGGAGTCGTTGAGCTGCAGCCACTGCACGCGGAACCTGCGGGCAGCGCGGGCTGAGCCAGCGGCCCCGGTGTGGGGACGCGAAGGGGACACGCGAGGGACACGCACGGGATGTGCAGGGGACACGCAGGGGACGTGGGGGACGCATAGGAGATGTGCAGGGGATATGTAGGGGGACACCACATAGAGGACACACAGGGGATGCACAAGGGACACACGAGGAATGCACTGGGGAACGCGCAGGGGACACGCGGGGGACACATAGGGGACATGCGGGGGACACACAGGGGACATGCAGGGGACACGCCGGGGCGCGCGGGGCTCACCGGGGCACGGCGAAGCGCAGCTCGCCCAGGGGCGGCATGTGGTAGGAGCCCGTCAGGTTCAGCTCGTGCTCCGTGTGCAGCAGTGACTGCAGCGCGTCCAGTCCCGGATGCTCTCGCACCACCCCGCGCCACCCCCAACATCGTCACTTATAGCAGGCCAGGCGGCAGCGGGTGACACCGAGACGGCCGCGGGGACAGTCCCGCCACTGCCGCTTCCCGCACGTGCCGGGCCCGAAAGCCCGCGCTTGCCCAACGCGTGACTCAGAGGGGGAAGCGGCGCCGGCCTGGGAGAGCAGCGCCCGGGGGCTCCCACACGGCCCCCCGGCTCTGGACACTGCCCCCAGCATCTGCTTTGGGGCTGCATATCCCAGGTGACAGGGGACGTGTGTCTGGGCATGATCGTGCCCTGGGGACACAGCCATGGGAGCCAGGGTCCCAACATGGGCACAGCCCGGCCCCGGCATGGCACAGACTGCCGACATGGCCCAGGGCCATCAATATGGCCCAGGGCCACCAACATGGCCAGGGCTGCCAACGTGGCACAAGCTGCTGACATGTCACCAGCTGCCGACGTGGCACTGACCACCCTTGTGGCACCGACCACTCTTGTGGCAGCACTGATGCCTGAACCATGTTCTGCACCCTACGCTATGACCCCTCCATGGCCCCCAGGACCCTGTGCCAGGGCCTGGTCCCATCCCAACACCTTGGGACACAGCCGGGCACCATGTGTGTCCTTGACAGTGGCATCACAGCCTAGGGAAGCTGTGTGGTGCCACGAAAGGGGGACCTGGCAACATCAGCACTGTCAGACACAGCCATGGGGACCCCCAGTGCCTGCTGCGTTCCCCAAGCCAGACTCTAGGTCCCCAGCACCCCTCGGTGCCCTGGCCAGCACCCCACTCTGCTCCCAAGCCTCACCGTGCCGGGCACCCTGGGCTGGAGACCGCACGGGGCCGCTGGTGGCAGCCGCCTCGGCCATGTCCCCCGGTGGCACTGGCGGCAGCGAGAAGCAGGGACCTGCTCCAGCAGCGACATCCATCGTGTTGGTGGACGGGCTGGTTGGACCAGAACGTCACCCAACTCCCCATGTCCCTAATCCCTTCCGGGATGAGTCAAGTCCTGGTCACAGCCATTGGGGAACGGATGCTGCTGGGGCATCCCCGGAACAGCCCCGCACGGCCGCGTCCCGGCACGGGGCGGCAGCGAGAAGCAGGGACCTGCTCCAGCAGCGACATCCATCGTGTTGGTGGACGGGCTGGTTGGACCAGAACGTCACCCAACTCCCCATGTCCCTAATCCCTTCCGGGATGAGTCAAGTCCTGGTCACAGCCATTGGGGAACGGATGCTGCTGGGGCATCCCCGGAACAGCCCCGCACGGCCGCGTCCCGGCACGGGGCACGGGCACCCTGAGCACAGCCCCGGCTCCCGGCCTCCCCGGCCCCGCAGGCCACTTGCTTCCCGTGGGGCCACGCAGCTCAGCGCAGCCCCGCGGCCTGGAG